AGTCTTTAAAAATGATCTTCTAACATTTTAAACTTACGGGCTGATGGCCAGCTGTGCAGACTGTGATCATTCCATGGGGGTGTACTGCCCCACCCCACTGGTGGTGGGCTTGGCCAGGGGCTTTGGCCGACAGAACGCGAGCAGAGGCTGCATCTGTGCTTGCAGGGTTTGGCTCCTTCAGCCTGGGTAGAGATCAAGGGATGTGTGTGGAGCAGGCCTGGATCAGATCCACAGCCTGGGGTGGAATGCTGCATCCACCTGTAGACCCAAGGGCGAGAATTTGTAGTTGTAAGCCACTGAGATCGCTGAGGTTGTTTTTGCAGCAAAAGCTGACTGATACATCATCTTACATGAGAAATTACAGAACTTGACATGTGCTAAATACCACGGGCAGTCATTGTTGTGTGGCAATTACGTACGTCTCCGAGCATGGCTGAGACTGTATTAACTTTTGGAGGCCGGACAGCGTTCTACAGTCTGGCACTCTCTCGTTTTTACCTAATGATCCTGTGGGAGGAAAAAGGTCTGATGGATTACCGCCAGAGTGTGGAAGCTCGTTATCACACTCCAGAAACTGGCTCTCCAGCACCAGACGAGATGGGCGGGCGGGTGTGGGGAGAGAAGCGTGAGGGTGTCAGCAAGCCCCGAGCCTGGAACTGTAGCCAGGAGGGGCTGGGCCCACGGCAGCCCCCAAACTGCTCAGTTCCTCCAGCAACAGCTGCATCTTACTGAAACGTAAGTCAGAGATTCTTTGGGAGTGGAAGGGAGATCAGGGGCCCTGCTTCCTGAAAACAAGGAAGGAGCCGGAGTTCCTGGTGAAGTGTTCTGCATCACCTGCTCTGGGCTTGCTTCCTCCTGCTGGCGGGCAGCTGTGACAAGCACCGCCTCACTGTCATGAGAAGTGTGGTTCACGATGACAAACTCGGGGTGGGCAGGGGCCACATCTGTTCTCCACGGCATCCTCAGTACCTAGCACCGTGTCGGGCTCGGAGGCGCTCAATACGTTTGAGAAAATGAATGAGTGAAACTTTTCTCATGAAACGTTACGTCCACTGCTACTCGGGCTGCTTCCCACCGTCTGGCTGGGGTAACCACAGGTGTGTAAGCCTAGCTGGCTATGCTGGGCTGTGGTACCTCCAGGCTTCCAGGGACGCTGACCCCAGGGCTGGAGTTCATTTAGTACTCATCTTTAGGGCAACAACAGTGAATTTACCTTTTTCTTTTTCTCCAAACTGAACAGGTTTGCCCATGGTCAAGGCAAAGAGTGTAGTTATTTACTTAATTCAC